CTAATGGTGTTTGTAAATAGAATGTCATGTCTGCATCTTGTACAGCAATTAACCACTAGGAAGAATGTATGTAATGTGTTAATTATTGAAACTGTCCTACCAATTTGATTTGAAACTCTCTCATTGCTATTTCTTAATAAAACTATGGAAAAAAAAATAAAGTGTAGTCATTAAGAACCAACCCCCCCCCAAAAAAAAAAACCCTGAGAGCAAATCCTATGGAGAAAAGGAGGAAGAAACAGGGAAAACAGGAGAATAGGGCCGCCAGATTAAGGAGCCCTCGAGGAAGGACAATGGCAGTAAGAAAAGGTGGAACAAAGGCTTCAAACAGCGGGATCGCTCTCAGCTCTGAGAAGCTGGAAAAAGCTTGTCTGTCCATCACGAGGAGGCTTAGGATTGAATTCTAGTTGTGTAAAGTATTTATTTCAGCAAGTATAATCCAACACTTTGGTAACATAATCCTGACCAAAACAGGATTATGTACATGGAAGTGGAAGGGATGGTAGCCCAGATGGGGAGGCTGCTGCAGGTGCTAGGTCCGGGATGACAAATTCTGGAGAAGAAACTATGGCTTTCCTTCCTGCCTATGACAAAACCAAGCCTGAGGCACACTTACCAGACGGGCACCAACTGCATGTGCGCATTATGCATCAGGAATGTAATAATAAAAAAAAATTAAAAATTATTTTTAAGAGTCCTATTCTGAATGCCACAACACCACGAAACTGCATCCTTCCACAAACCAGGACACCATTTAGCAGCGTCAGTGCTGAAGCGTGTGGCTTCCTTCTGGGCACCTCACAGTCTCCACTCCGACCCAGGCTGCTCCTCAGACTGGCAGGGACACAGTGCATGCGCAGGACTCAAAGTCACACTTCTCCTCTACTTTTCAGACTCCTTAGTATCAAATGAAGAAACTGGATGGACAGAGCTTGGGGAGGAGACAGACACCCGAAAGGTATCTGTGGCCTCTGTACCTGAGACTGATCTGCGCAGGAAGAACCTCAAAGTATTTTCATTATTAACTGTAACAGAATCATGAGCATCCCATGTACTTTTTAATACCTTCACTTTCAGTTAAGTATATTAAAACATACAGATTTCATTTCCTAGGCTTTGATCCATGTTCTTTCAGGGATAGATGGAACAGGCAGATATTAGAAGACGGTTGATACTCAAAATTACTTCTGAATATTCACTCCGGCGAGAACAGCTGCATTTCTTGGCCATGAATACCTCGGTCTCTACCTCTGCTGTTGCCCAGCACAGAACACATTCTGACTGGGTGCCTAAGAGGGGACCCTGTGAAGGACAGCACCCAGACAGCAATGCTTCCAACTTCTGGGGACTGATTTCCTCTCCATCCACACTAATAAATCTCCTAGCATGCTGGTCTCTCACAAACCTCGGTGGACAGGTTTTTCCAAGTATGCTATTTCCCCTGCAGCTTTCTCTCCATGCTTCTAACCAGTAAGTTCTAAACAGACAAGTTTCAGAACATTGCGGGGGACCCTTGCAACCCAAAGCATTCTGCTTCCATTTACTGTATCCTGTTTGTTATTCATCATAGTGTTTACTTGCACAAGTAGTTCTGTACCTAAAAATAAATGTGAAAACCCATGTTCTAGAGAAATAAAGTACTTTAAAAGAATGACAGGTATAATCCAATAAAACATTACATCTTAACTTTTTTAAAAAAGTCTTCAATAGAATGTTTGCTAAGGGCATAAATAAGATAGACTGCTGGTCACCTGCAGGAACAAATTTCAAATAGAAACTGGGCTCAGGAAATAAACACAGAAAACTGTTTTCCATAAAGGCCAGAAAGCCTAACTCACATCTGAGTTTTTCATACGAACTCCTTTGGCCACACTGCCAGATACATGTGGTACCAATTCTTCATCAAGTTGTAAAATCAATTTAATGAGTTGGATTAGCATTACTTTAATGTAACAGAAAATACCATTTGAGAAATACCATTTGAGATAATGAGTGAGCTTTTGTGAAAAGAAGCATGCGTGCGCGCGCACACACACACACACACACTATATGCTGGATCACAAGAGGGAAATACGTTTACCATGGGTTTTGAAGAACACTGACAATGCAGAACAAAAATATCAATTTTTTGGTCTTAAATTTTCAATCAAAGAGACTAATATGTAGAATTATTATCTTATTTAGTATATATTTGTCTCTATGCATTTGCTTTGTCCTACTGAATTCTAATATAAATGAAGTGGATTTAGAGCTCAAGTCTTCTGACTCAGCCCTGACTACCTGCTGCTAATAAGACCCAGCTGCTATCAGCAATTACTTATAACCAGCATTGACTTTATTGAGCGGTATGCTAGGCAAGGCCCTGTCCTAGACATTCCTTATAAGTTATGTATCTCTTAGTAGACCCTGAAGGTACAAGCTGTTATCCTGACTTTACACAGGAAGCAATGCCCCTCAGCAAGGGATAGCAGCTTGCCCGTGGGTATCATGGTCAGAATAAGCAAGCTGGGATGAAATCTCACATTATCAATGTATGAATTTTAGCTGAACTATTCTCCATGCAAAATTCAGAAAACGTATGTTTCAGGTGGATGTTTCTGGGTTAGCTTCTTGGAAATGACACTTAGAAGGTCTAAGATGCACACACATTAGAACAATGCCAAGGGCCAGGGTGGTGGTACATGCCTGGAATCCCAGCACTAGGCCAAGGCAGGAGGATCGTTGTGAGTCTGAGACCAGCCTGGGCTACAAAGTGAGCTCAAGGCCAGCCTGAACTGCATAGCAAGACCCTGTCTCAAAAAGACCCCTCCCCCTAAGAAAAGAAAAATGCTGAACCTGGCACACCAACAGGTGAAAGGACTTCAAGCATCAGAAGGATGCTGCTGGTGGAAGGGACTCTATCTCTTGGTGCAGGGAGCACTCTGGGAGTCTCCCAGGTAGCACTCAAGATGGCATGGTTTACCAAGGCAATGGCCAGACAATTCCCTGACATCTCAGGACTCAGGTATTTTAACAGTTTCATCATTCCTGATGGTTAAAGGCCATGCTGGGAAGAGGTGAAAGAACCTCACTCCAAAGTCCAGCCTAACATCTAGCGGTACAGCCACACACCACTTAAAGGGACGCCAGGGAGTTACACGACAGGAAATGCCAACCACCTCCACTCCCTCCAGCGTCAGACCCACCCTCCCAGATAGTGAAGCAGAAACATATTCCACATAGTTAGCACAGCATGCTGACAAATTCAAATGTAAATGTCTGCCTGGTGCAGGAAATGGGACTGAAATCATGTTCTACACTTTGAATTTTTACTTCTTCGAATTTCTAAGTTTATGAGGAAATAAAAATGTGGCGTGATATAGAAAAGGTACACTTTTAAATGTTTCTTACCATTAAAAGTCACACTGAAGCCATATTAGAAGGCAAAAGAGGTTCAAATTCTGTTAGAAAAGTGTAATTCTTTTCAAAGATTTTTGACTCTTATAAAACATGGTTGTCCGCTACTTTTCTGCCAACTTTTAAAGACTCCTTCCAAAGGCTACGGAATTAAACACACATGTGCCTAACATCATTGTGTCAGATAAGCTAATTACCATTCCAATACATTTTCGGAGGATGCTCCAGATACTGAAGTCGTTTCTGGAAAACATAGGCGACGGCAAGCTTGTTCTGAAAAAAAGGAAAAGAGCTGATTTTAATGGCATTGACAATGGAGAAGAAAAACCTGTTGTCAGTAACACTGAAGGGCAAACACACATTGGAGAGATGTTTTTAAAATATACTGTCACAGACAGAGCAAAACAAGGCCCACCTGCATTGCACCTGTTCCCTGCTACTTTGGTGCCCAAGAAGTTCTGCAACACATCAATGGGCCCCATCTTGTTAGTCATTCCAGTCCGTGGGGGTCAGCTGTCTGGGTCACCTTTAAAGGATACTATCCTTACCTGTGCTGGTACATCAATCTCCCTTGTCTCATTCAACACACCCCTGCCATATTCTGACCTCCAACACCTCACTGTACTCTTCCTGCTAAATGCTATACACAGAATGCAATCAGAGACTGAAGTTTTTAGACAATTAAAGGGGAAAATTCAAATTAACTATGAAAGTCCAAGTGAAATGTAGGCCCAGCATTGCACACTGGTACTTCTGCGACAGCAGTGCATTGAGCAAGTCAGGCTATAGTAGGAAACCCTTTACAAACTAACACATTCTGCTGACTTGAACCACTGGTGTGACTATAACTCTCCTGCTGCCCAGTCCAACCACAGCTGATTAGTACTGAACATCAGATGATGGAATTCAAATCAAAGCAGTTGGCAGTGAGACACGAATTAAGGCCCCATTGTACACACTATAAACCTAGACAAAAGGAGGATCTTCAAAGCCTCTACAGAGATTGAGAAGTTTCCAGAAAATGGTAATTGTAAGTGGTACAGGATTTGTGGCTTGGATAAGCAGCACATCAGAGCCCTGGTGTCCTAATGCCAGGTCTGCGGGGCAGGAGCTGAGCCCATTTCCATAGATTAGGCTGGGAAGACCCACCTTTGAAACCATGCTGGCAATAACCAGCTCTCACTCCAGTTATCTCGGGTTATGGCAAGAGATGCCAACTTTCCAGGTACCCATGGACATAGCCATGTAACTAAAATACTAAGTTGGAAAGAACTTCTAAGTCTTCACTGATTTAAGTTACACACATTAATAAATTTGAAGGTTTTAAGTGTTATTTAAAAGCCCTCCGTACAATTCCCATGGCTGCGGCCTCGTTAGGCATGCACACCGCTCATCTGGCAAAGCTGCTGCCCAGCCAGCCTGCCGGCTGAGCGGCCACACATGGCGTGTCAATCACACTGTCATTCTCCAAGACCATCAATCTCTGATCATGAACAATGGATACCAGCGATGCAAGTCCTGCCCCACTGACCACGTGCTACGTAACGCAGCTTTAGAGATGTATGGAAACTAGCTCTCCATCTCCTGCCTAGGAAAACACCAAAGCACAAAAATGGAACACAGCTACAAAGCTGTGAATGTGGAATGCGCTCTGTGAAGGCTAAACAAGGGCTACAGTGACCTCCAATATATGTACAGAAGGTGGGCTGCTATGTCCTTTCGCTCTGATTAGGGCTAAGACCAGGAAAAAAAAAAAAATCAACGGGTATCTCAGAGATGTTTCTCTTTTTTCGTTTTGAGACAAAATGATACAAAACAAGGTTGCCACTAAGAATTGTACATGAATTTCTTTCTTGTACACATTAACTTTTCATGGCATTTTATGAACGTGTAATGATTATTCATATCAAAGCCACACTATCTGCGCTATGATCGATTCTAAGCACAACCACAAAGGGGAGACAAAGGGATCTGGAATGGTAAATGGCTATCATAAAATCCACCTCATTTTCTGGTGTGGGGTCCTCAGAGCCAGGCCCAAACCCACCCTCAAACAGCCCGCCCCTGGTGCCATGACCCAGTCAGAGGTAGCAGGAGGGCTACTGGCCTAGGACACATACACCACATACAAGTCGTGCTTTAGTGAATAACCTTGGGGAGCTGGCCACAGTCTAAGAGCCTGAAGAGGCTGCCAGAGAGACAGGTGCAACCACAGACTGTCAAAGGGGTGGGGAGCATGTCTAAGAGCAGCTAGAGCCAGGGTCCAAATCCAGGTGCCACTGGCAAAGTGACCATAGCTCACTCAAGAGCATGCGTGGAAGGCAATGTGCAAGTGTCTGAAAAAATTTCTTCTAAGCAGTGGTAAAGAAAATGTGGGCCCTAGAAGAAACCCAAGAAATGGAGGTCTAGGGAAGCACAGGAGCAGGCCCGGGGGTGGCAGGAGGAATAGCATCCCTGTCACCTCCCACCCTGTACCTGCATTCTCCTCTGTCCACTGCTCTGTGACACAAGTCACCCATCTCCTTCACGGCAGATTAACTCAGAGAACTCCTGTTGTATCTACTGCTATGTCCTCGCTGCCGAGGACAATGTCTACCAGTCAGGCTGTGTTTGCCAGATAACATTAGAATTTATAAGATCTCTTAGCAGATCTTCTCTCAGGAGGGTCTGGTCTACTCTGCTTCTCATGAGAGTGGGAGCAGTCCTCCTGGTGAAAGGCTGAGGCTGAGACAGCTAGCAAGAAGGCCAGGCTTAGAATAACCCCAAAAATGGGACCAAAAGATCCCGTGTCAGGAATGGTTTCAGGCACAGTCTGGAGGCTGGGACAGTCGGGGCACAGAAAGGTACCCCTTACGGGGTCGGATGTTGGTCTAGAGCAGTCAGGACAGGCACACCATGCGGCTGGGCACCCTCTGCGAACAAGCAGCTCCCACAGCTAACGTGCTATCTAGCCCCAGTGTCAACTGGTTTGGGGGTGGAGCCTGCCAGAGAACGTGTAAAAAGTACAGATGTACAGGATAGACTAGTTTTAGAAATATATTTTAACTCAATTACTAGCCTTTCAACATATAATCAATATAAAGGTATTAATAAAATATTCATACTTTTTGCATACTATCTCCAAAATCCAATACATAACTCACACATACACACACACACACGTAAAAGAGCACATCACTATTTAGCTACTCTTCTCAACAGTTAAAGTGCAGTCTCGTCTTCACAATACTCAAGTGAAACTGCAGTTTCCCAGTTGTACCACCACACTTGAAGCCACTCAGAAGCCACATGTGGCTGGTGGCTGCCCTACTGGACAGCCTCCTCCTGAGAGGAGCAAGCGGCCGCTCACCTGCAGGAGCCTACAGGGACAAAAAAATGGCACACTCTGTTTTGTCTGTCATCAGCAGTGTTAAGAAGCAGAAAGAAGATAATAATGTAAAAACCAGATTATTCTCTTTGTTTTGTACCAGGAATCAAACTCAGCACCTTGCATTTGCCAGGCAGGCGCTGTGCTGCTGCGCTATATTCCCAGCCCAAAATAGATTAGTTTAGAAAATAATCTGTACTGGAAAGGATACATTCCTAAGGATGCAGGCGGGGAAGAACGCACGAGAGCAACCAGGCCCCTTGGGCTGAAAGCCTCGATTCTCTTCCCCTGAGCTGCTCTGAGCGGCATTATCCTGCATCTATGCCTCCTTTTCTTCACACAGAGAGAAAACACCCGGTACCAGGGACAGCCAGGGCCAGGCCTGGTTCTATTTTTGACCATAGGGATGACATTATGACTATAGACACAAAACTCCAGCAAGTGATCTTTAAATGAGAGGCTCTCTGAGTGGCAATGGTTCTACTTGCCGTCCCACCATCATTGCCCCGCCGTGGACTCCAGACTTAACCCGATCACCCTAGGAAGCGTGTCTAACGAACGCTGGGCTGAAGCCCCCCGTGCTGCGGGCAACACCGGCAAGGGCAGGAGATCACCAGCGAGCTCCACAGCACCTGAAGGCAGAGCGCACGCCGAGCGCCCTGCAGTGCCCAGCTCCGCCGCTCCGGGGACCGCGCAGCCCGCACAGTCCGGCCGCCCGCCGCACATGCTCCTGACCCACGGACTCGCAGCAGCACCGCTCGCTCAGGCTCAGAGACGCTCGGAAGAGAAGAGCATCAGGGAGACGAGACTCACTTGGGCTGGAACCATGCCAGCCACACACGAGCCGAGCTGTGTGCAGAGCGGGCCTGCACATACTTCTCTGGAGTATCATTGTGCTTGGGGCTGCCTTTTGTGGGATATATTTTAAAAATGTGAAAATTATGCAAATCTTCCAAGTCAAGGCTGCATATCTAGATAATCTGCCCTGTTTGAACAGCCACAAATTTTTTCCACTGCTTTATCAGTTCATGTTCTTAGCACGTAATGCCTGCATTCCTTGAGGAGAGCTGATACAGACGCATGCTGCGTCTCAATTCCTTTCTTCATCCCCTTCCTCTTACCTCCCTCCCACCCACCGCTTGATCCCTCCCCTTTGACAGAGACTGGTCTCATGATGACGTATCATCTTTTATTTTGCTCTTTCTTTACACTTAGGTTTCTCGTAGAAGAAAAGAAAAGTCATGAGCTACTTAGCTGCGTGCTTGTATTTCATTTAATCTTACCGTCTCAAAATGCATCCATGCTCCTTCCAACGACTTGTTTACCCTTCTTCGTGGCAGAGCAGTGCTGTGTGTATACGTACAAATACCACATTTCCTCACCACTCATCTGGTAGCAGACAGACCACCTCAAGCTTCAGCTGTCATGAACTGTTCGTCTACAAACACGAGTACGCACAGACCACTGTGCTATGTCGTCCTCAGCTCTCTTAGGAAGATACCAATGAGCTGGGTCAAATGGAATTTCTGTTTGCAATATTTTTGAGGAATCTCCACACTAACTTCCAAAGTAGTTGTACCAGTGGTTTAGAAGAGTTCCTTTTCTCCCGGAATTCTCATCAGCATTTGTTACTGTTTGATTTCTTGCTGGTGGCCACTCCTTCTGGGGTAGATAGTTTCTCAGAGTCATTTTAATTTGCTTTTCTCTAGTAGCCAGCAACACTACGCACTTTTTCAGGTATTTATTGAGCATCTGTACTTCTTCTGTGAAGTCTATTTCAGTTGCCCATTTTTGACTCGGTCTACTATGGGGGGTCTACATTTTTTTAGTTCTTTATACATTCTAGTTATTAGTCCTCTGTCCAGGAAATAGCAGTTAGATGCGCTGTAAGAAAAAGAATGCCCAA